ATTTAATTGTTTATCAAAGATTTTAACGACTGATACTTAAAGTGCAAATTGATATTCAATTGTTCAAAGTTTATATAGTTATATAATTAAAAATTAATTATTCATTATATTTTCAAACTCCTTGACTCATATATAAATACATATTTATGTGTTTCCCGATATCAGTTTGACGTGATGATAGAAAATGAATAGTTGAATTTCTATATTCAACTGCATGTAAAACAAATCTTGTTTGTATTATGATCTTACGTGGCTAGTGTAATTTTGAAACATTAATAATTATTTCTACTAAAAAGGCATTTAATTCCTTCCATTTAATTATAGCATACGCATCATTTACATATTTTTCTATAATTTTTATACAATCGATATCACCAATTTCAATACATATTTGCAAGGAATTTTTTGGAACAAAAGATTTGTATCAAAGCAATGCTAGTCGTTATCGTATATTACAAAATAATATAATACAAATCATTTATACAAAATAATAAACATTCAGTGAGAACAATTCCTTTTTTTTTAATAAATCTCATTAAAAATCCATTAAAAACACCCAAGAAAATTGAATTTTTTAATTTAATTGAAAGATTCCCTGAAATAAAAGAAGTTCTCTTCGACCAGAGAGTCGTGAATAAAAGTGACCAAGTCGTATTACTGATTTCAGGATTTAACATTCGTATTGTACGACTTCCTGGAGAGCAGCTTATCGGCCGAGGAGATCTGTTTGCTCGGCATAGACCTCGATCCGATCTTAATCGAGCGGGCAAAGGGGCGCAACCCACAGCCGGGTCGTATTGATTTCGAATGCCTCGATTTCTTGGCGGAGGATCGTAATCGAACACTGGACGAGTATCTTCATCGATTGGGAAGGTCACGCTTCGACGTCGTGTTCTGCTTTTCAATTACCATGTGGATCCACTTGAATCACGGGGACGAAGGGCTGGCAGAATTTTTGCGAATAGCTTGCTCAGTCACCGACATGATCGTGATCGAGCCACAACTTTGGAGATGTTACAGGAACGCGTCGAGAAGGCTACGACGATCGAAAGGCGAAGATTTCCCATTATTGCGAACGTTGAGGCTCACTGGCGATCCAGCGGCGCACATTGAACGCATATTGACTGAATCTTGCAATTTTCGAAGAATCACGGTTACCGAGAACAATGAGTGGAAACGGAGGCTATTAATTTATGCGAGGACGTGAGCCATCACTTTTCTCACTCACCAGAGATCCATGGGATTCCGTGCTGTATGCTAAATAAAACCGACGTCAATAAGTGAACGACGATCTTTTTTTTTTTTTCCTTTGTTTGATTTATACGATTGTCGGAATAATTTTTGGTATAAATAATAAATTAACATAATTTATAGAGAAACAAGGTTGTGAGATATACTGCATTCTTTTTATCACAAGTCAATTAAGAACCTTGAAATATTCTCTTTTATACATGTTTTGTTTTCTACAAGATTGTGAAATATATTCTTTTTCATAGATACTAGTCTTTTTTTTAAACATCATGTTTACAAAGTAAGAATATAAGAAGATTCCTTTCTATTTATGTCTACTGAGTAATGATACATACCATACTTTTTTTTTTACAATACATATGTTGAGGTTTTGAAACTCAAAACTCTGGAAACTTGAAGTGCTGGTATTATTTTGTAAGTGGAACTTCTGGAGTTAATACTTTTATATGGTTAACACTAAACGTACCAAGCGGGATCAAATGACCCCTTTTCAAAATTTACTTTAAAAAAAAAATATATGTTTAAAAGGTCAAATGACCCCTTTTCAAAATTTACTAAGTAAAAATATATATGTTTGAGTATTTTTATTAGAAATCAGAAGTTATGTTGCTAATTGTTTCCTTTAACATAAATTAAGAATTTCTTTCTAAAAATCAATGTTTATTCATAAGGGATCAAACGACCCCTTTTTAAAATTTACTTTAAATAAAAATATATGTTTGAGTA